ATGGCTATGGGACAAACGTTATTGACCTATACCCTAATCACAGCAATCGTTGGTGTATCGTTAGCCCTTGATAAACTACTTTTAGTCCAAGTGGTTAGTGCAAAATATATATTCTTCAAAAATAGTTATAGTTTTTAAACATTACTTTTCCATTCCCATTATTGGTAATTGGTTTTGCTTGAAAAAAGTCTTAACTTTTTTTCTTTATGCAATCAATAATAGTAGAAAAGGTTAAAAAATTTTGTAGTTCTACAAAAATTTAAGTTGCAATGAAAATCTGATAATTGCTCTTATCGAAACGTTTTTTGTTTGGTTGTTTTTTTTTCCAACTAAGTTTCTACAATTCTTATTTTCAGCAACACAATATTTGCACTGAAAACAGTACGTAAATTTTTGAAAAAAAAACAGTTTAAACTGAAAAAAGAAAACTGGAAATTGAAAAGTTTATCGGTTTTATAGCCAAACAACAGTAACTTTGTTATGCTTTCGTTGTCACATACAAATGAAAAATTAAACATTAATAAACATTAAAAAAACGAATAAATTTTTTTTTTCTTTACTAAGAAAGTTGCGTTTTGTAAAAGCTAAAAGAAAACTAGTGACAAAAAAAAAAAAACCGAAATTTATGAAAAAGAAAGTACTATAAGTTAATTTATTGTCAATTGTAGCTGCAAATCACTGAACAACAACCTTAGCCTAAAACAGTGAGTAAAAAAAGTTGTTGATTTTTATCAATTCAAATAATTTCAAAGTTTTCACGCATAAAAATTAAACGTCAATAAAATTGAATTGTTGCCCAAAATTTGAAAGCTCTGAAAAATACAGCAGCACAAAATCTGTTTTTTTTTTAATTATACGGCAACATTTTTTGCACTGTTCATTCATTGTTCATCAAAAAAATTTTTTTGCGGGCCAATTAGATGAGAGGAGAAAAAAAATTTCTTTTCAAAAACTAAAGAAAACTTTAATGATCAAAACGAGCAAAGATTGTAAAAAGTTAAATTTTTCACTAACTTTAACTGTAGTTTTATAAAGATTTTTTCTAAGAATGATATAACAGTTTTGTTTGTTATTTTCACTTTTTTAAAATCTGCGATCATTGTTTCAACTTTTTCAGTATAACAGGCAAAAAAAATTGACATTTAATGACCAGTCAGACATCTGTGTTGATCAAATAACAGACAAGCAAAAAATCCATCTGTTTTTCTTCTTAAGCCAACTTTTTTTTGACCATACTTCTGTTAGTTAGCATAAAGTTTCTTCCACTTACCGTACCAAACTGTTCATTTTGTAAAGCAAAAAAAAAAAACCAGAAGAAAGAATTAGGCTAACAGAACAGTACTGCTGTATACTTAGAAATATGACAAAAAAAAAGAAGTAAACCATAAACTTTTATCATCATTTATAAGTCATTATTATTTTTTATTTTGTAACTGTCATTTAAGGCTTGGAGACATGGAGATCGATCTCCGATGGGTACCTTTACAAATGATAAATACACGGAACAGGACTGGCCAGCTGGATACGGTGAACTACTTCAGGTTATTTTGATAGTTTTAATCAAACACAAATAGTATCATCAGCAACTTTTCATTTCACTTCTACTCTTACGGATAGTTATTAGCTGTTAAGCATTACTTATCAAAAATAGTTTTCTTTTTCTTTTAAAAAATTAGTCAATTTTCAAAATTGCGACAGTTTGTTGATTAGGAAAAAAAATAGAGAAAACGTTACTAATATGCTAACAATTGGGACAATTTTAGAAAGGAATGATACGTCATATGAACCTTGGTGAACTTTTACGAAACGAATATATTGAAAAGACTCAGTTTTTGTCAAAAGATTTTGTCAAGTCAGAAGTATGTTAATTTTTTAATTAAATATTATAAAAAAATTTTCTTAATACACAGTTCAATAAAAAGTATATGCACTTTACGATAGCGCAATAATACTGCAGTATCGTAACTATTAATCTATATAAAACCGTTAAAAATGTTCAAATTCTTGTAGATATCTGTGAAAGTTTAAGCCTCAAAACTTTTCAACTTTTTTTCTTTAGTTATTATTTAGTTTTATAAAACTATTTCAATCAGTATCGCTCAAATAAATAATGCCGTTTTAATCAGGCCAAGTTACAGATTTTGATTTGCTACTGTCAGCGTACAGTGAAACTTTTTTGCTTTATCAATACCAGCTAAATTATTCTTAAATAGTTGAAATTACATGATTTTAGTGTCATGATGTTGCTTAGTCGTCTGAATTTGTCAAGAACTTTTTCAAAAATTTCTTCTCTGTCTGTTCGTTCAGATTATTTTTGAAGTTTTAAAACTTTAAGCTGCTGAAGCGGAAGCGTTTTGATTTGTTTCCTTTCATTTCTAAAGCAGCCATCTATTGAGCCATAGAAAATTCTGTCAAACCGTACTAAGGTTTAATAAACTTAAAAAAACCAAAAGAAACCCGGCAAATAAACAAAAAAATTTGGCTTTAATCTAAATATAACGCATACATATAAATTTTTAGAAGTCCTCTTGCTAGGGCAATAATAAAGTTATAATATTTTAAAACGTAAGAGATTGAAATTTGAAAATTTTTGCTAGTTTACTAAATCCAAGAAATTTCTTATTATATGCAACAGTTACCGCATTTCTATATTTTTATTACACTTCTACCTTACAAACGTTTTCTTCGAAAAAAAAAA